TCTCATCACGGGGCTATTTTTCCGTGAAAATCGCTCTCGAAAGTATATATTGCGTAAACAAAAGTTATTCTTCGCATTGTGGGGGGAGTTATTATTCACGACCCGAACCGAGTCAACGTCCCGAAAAACGTCCCCACACTTTGCACACTCTCTATATACATCGTCGTACGAAAAAATTACTTCTACTTCCAAGAGTACCGTTGCGCTGTTATTCTTATTATATCCTCTCAACGCTCTCGCACTTACCTTACCGTTATTGTATTATATTTCGCAATCGTTTAGTCATCATCGCGCGTTCCTATCGCTCCTCATTACGCCGTCCGTAGCGATTATTCCGCGTATCTTCCATATCCTTCGTGTCTCACTAGCTTTTCTATGATCGATCAGTCGGAATCAGCACTTTGAAGATTTCGAGTGTCGATCGAGCGTTATTTTAGGCTCGAAAGTTCCGCCTGACACGCGCAGTCGGGAGAACGATTCCCCCGTTCGGAGCTGAATCGAGTTAAAAGTTATCCTTATCTGCGCATTAATCGGATGTATTAAATGGTACCTCGGTCAAATAAGTAATGATCGTGTTCGCGCGATAACGATAGGCTCTCTCTCTCTCTCTCTCTCTCTCTCTCTCTCTCTCTCTCTCTCTCTCTCTCTCTCTCTCTCCAGCTGTCGAAAAACGCTCCTCGGGAGCGCTCCCGCGCGAGAGTTGCGTTTTACGTGAAACTAGTTCCCGGCGCGACACGTGTGCAGCACGCGTCGCGGCCGTCGAGCACGCGCCTTCGTTGCACGCACGTAGCACGCACGAGTGTTCGTGCGTGTGCGAACGAAACGCCGCGCGCGGTGCATACAATGCACCTATCTCGGCAGCGCACGTATGCGCGCGAGAGAAGGAGCACTTGCCATTTGCTCGCCGGCTAAATTACGGCATACCGCGGGGAAGCGCGCGAGCGATGCGACTTACGTTGCTCGAATTATTATGCACACACAGGTCCGTGGTGGCGTTTTATTTCCTCGAGAGGCAAAAGGGGCAGGGGGGCTTTCTGGGGCGCTATTCGGCGGATCGTTACTTAGCGAATCGCGAATGATGACAGTCGCGGCGGTTGTTTTCAACGCCATATGCGCCGGACCGCTTTTTAATCGAACCTTCGTCGGAGTGTATTCCCGGAACCAGTTTCGCTGAGAGAGATCATTGCGTACCGTTATTTTTACTCGTACGTATAACACCCGAGCATATGTCTCGACGAATGCCCCGGCGCTGGCCGCCGGGTTTATCCGATAATTTGGCCACCGATATTGACACACGGGAAGCATCCGAGAGCTGAAAGACATGCCGCTCTCGCGGCAGCATTGTACGGACAACATTTATCGTTCCGTTGAGGTTTCGGTCTCGCTTCCGTCTCGCTCGTGTTCTCTCTGTCATTTTCCCGGGTTTTGGTGGACCGACGTTTCAATCGATTCGAGCGGCCGATTAACACTGACGAAAAAAGTACGTTTGTTTCGCCGTCTTGAATGGCGGTCGTACGCAAATTCGGAATGTTTGGCTCTCTCGGCTGCTCAATGACGCTCACAACAACGCTCTTTAATAAATTGCGCAGATTTATTCGTAATATTTTTATTGGCGGGGACAAGCGCGAGGGGGACCGTTTCGAATTTTGCGGAATTGTTGAAAATGTAGAGTAATATTCGCTCTCGTCGGATGACGTAGCCCTGTTTGCTCATCGTTTCGGTACTCGCCGCGGCGCGTTTTTCCCCGGCCGAGTCGAAATTTCGAGCCGATCGGTGAGTCGAAGCGCTGGTGCGTTAATTACCACTCTGCCACTTCTTTCGACGTTTTTAGATTTTACTTGAGGAGTGAGGAAAATCTAACTGACGGTTCCTGCATTTGTGCGCATAATGACCCACCACGCTTTCTCCACCTCTTTGCTCTCTTTTCTCGCTGTGCACTTCGAATGGCACGTCGGTGCATGTCGATACGCTCCTCTTTCATTATTAACACAGGAATGACAGAAACTTCTCCGTCTGAATCGGTGCCGGTGCTAATTAGCGATCATCGTTCGTATGCAAATTAATGCGAATCGTCCGCATCGCATGCGCACGTACATGTACGCGCCCGTACACTGGAAAGCGCGAAGACATCTGTAAATTTTACATTTTCTCCACCGCGATCTTTTTCTCTCTCTCTCTCTCTCTCTCTCTCTCTCTCTCTCTCTCTCTCTTTTCCCCTCTCTCTTTTCGCCGCTGTTACGATAGAAAGTTGAAAACACGTCGAACTTGTCGCATCAGTGGGTATGCCAGGTGCATTAATTAGGTAAATATACTCGCAGATACATCTCTCTTCTTTCACGCTCGAGGATCCGCTCGACCGAAGATAATTAATCCATTGATAAGTGAGCTGTTGGTCGGAAGAACATTCATTTTTTTTTTTTTTATTTATAGGCAGAGAAGGAAAGTTTATGAAAGCGTATAGAAAATGTTGAGTGTAATTGCTTCGCAACATTATGCTTCTTTATGGTTTCACAGAGAAATGCGAGTCCTGTTGTTGTTCTAAAACAGATGGTTAGTACGTGTCAAATTTCTACTGGTACCGACGCGAGAAAAATGTTTAGTGACGATCGATAAATGCGAATGAAAAAAAAAGATTTTTCTAATTCTTCGAATCATCAAATTTAGTCGAAATCTCGTTTGAAATATTCGAGCGCCATGTTATATATATATATATATACACGTGCATGCGTGTGTTATTAGATTCAACGCGCGGGTTTTTTTCCATTTTTTTATCCCGAGTAGAAATTCGCTGACATAGTGTTCGGCATGTAAGAGTGATAACTTACGGCAGTGCGTTTTTGCAGCGGCGAATTCTTTCCATTTCGCGAGTTTTGTCTTGTCGTTTGTAATCATCCAGCAGAGCGGCTGGCAATATTTAAATGTCGCGTTTCATCGTATTCAGAGTGTGACGTGTGCGTTACGTTACGGCGTATTTTAAACGCGTTAAGTTCCGTCAAAGCGCTTCCTCATTAGTCCAATTAACGGCATTCTAATTGGGCTTAAGTAATTATAGACCGGTTGAAGAGAGACCGCGGCGCGCCCACTCACTTTTCGACGAACGTGACGCCTCTTCGCGATCCCTCGACCGCCAATAACCGAGAACAAAGATCCCAAACCCTTCCAGTAGCGGCTCATAATTGCCAACAATAAGGCCCTAACAGACGCAGGAAGAAAGAGAGAGAGAGAGAGAGAGAGAGAGAGAGAGAGCTTCTCCACTTAATTACTCCTTGACGTATGAAACGAGGCGCGTTATGTTCTGTGATGTCTTATCTGTGATTTTCTTTCACGGTAATGTTCCAGTTTGTGCTTTAGGTTCCTTCGACTGTTACGCTAATAGAGGTCCTGTCACAATGAATTGAGCGTAACGTGATACTTCAAAATGAGACTGCGTGATTGCGCATGCATCGTGTGTTGGTTCGCTCGATTCTCTGAGAGCAAATCGTCTCGAACGCTCAGCCTTCTCCAAGTTAGCCCCCCTTGACTGCTTCCGTAAACGATAAATAAATAAATACTCTGCGTCTCAATTGTTTCTCGCAATTGTCAAATTTTCAACAAATCACCTATCTTCGCAACGAAGATTGAAATTAATATCTTATCCCAGCAGAACGTGGTGGTCGCTATTCATTCGGTTGTCTGCCAGTCGCCAAAAGCCATTGGAAGCTCCAGAGATTAATGCGCAAGAACTGACAGAGCGTTTCGAAAGAGCAAGAAGCGCGCTTTGCACTTCCCGCGAAAGATGGTGCGAGCAGGTGGAAGAATTCGGTCGATCCTTCCACTCCGTATGGTATGCTATATAAAAAGATCCCTTTCGGCATTGATGTCGCGCGACTTCTAATCGATGCGCGGACTTCCACCGTACGTTATAACTGTATCACAAACGACTCTCGAGCGACGACGCTCTGTGACGTGGGGAGATCCAAGATCAAGGTTGCGGCGCTTCTGGATCGCGACAGAGAAACTCGCCGGCCGTTCGTTCGTGTGTTGGTGGAATACCCGCTTACGCCTGGTACCTGCTTACGCGCGGCCACATGGACTCGTTTACGCGTACACACACACACACACACACACACAGAGGTGCGTGGAGGCAAGGTGAATGCGCCACGGAAGAGCGCGAGCACCTTCAGTTGGATCTTCTTCCTCTCCTCGTCGCCATTACGGACGGTGCACCGGCTCCAAGCGGCGATCTCGCGTGCACTCGCAGTCCGCCGCTCGTGGAAGCCACAACCGCCGCCGTCGCTCTCTCTCTCTCTCTCTCTCTCTCTCTCTCTCTCTCTCCTGCTCCAAGGGATCCCCGAGAACGAGCTCGTGGTCGCGCCGATGTGATATCCTGCAGCGGAGCGCGTTCGAGAGCCGCGTCGCTTTCGACGACCCGATCCGATCGCGACGCGACGCGACGCGACGCGGCGCGGCGCGGCGAGCGAGCGCTTCGATAAAATCGCCAGTCGGTTCCCGCAGAGTCGTTAGCCCGCGAAACGCGCCGTGTCGTGCGGTCTGAATCCGCAGGAGTAATCCGTCGCGCGTGGCACAGCTGGTCGGTGAAAACGTGCGCGAGCCGTATTATGCGGCTGCACCGAGTGCACCGGCGACAGCGAAGATCGCCGGTCGTTTCGCGGCGCGTGTCAGCGGAGCGCTGCAAAGCGCGCGCGCGCCGCACCGGCCTCGAGGTTCCTGGCTTCACTCCCGATCCTCTCGCTGCTGCTAACTGACCTAGGATCGCGAGCTTGATGAATATTGAGAGGTGCCGGCCGGAGGGGTCAGAGCTGCGGTGATTCACGATCGCGCGGACGACGGCGTCTCTCATCATTAACATATCCCCGGTGCAGCGTGCTTTGATCGACATTTCGGTAACGGCGCGGGCGCTCTCGAGAGACCGAGACCGATTCCCCCCCCTCGATCCGCGTTTCGATCTGTCTTCGTTTGTCTCTCTCTTTCTCTCTCTCTCTTTCTCTCTCTCTGTGTCTGTCTGCCGTTTATATCGCTGTCTCGAGCTCTAGACTGGCCGGTGCGATCCCTCGGAGCGAGATCGTGCACGGATGAATCGGGGGATCCCGACGCTTCTCCGCGGAGGACGGAGCGACCGTCGCACGAACACGACGCTCGGGGGATATTGCTCTGACTCGAAGAATACATTACTCTGTGTGAACCGCCCGTCCGTCGTTCGCGGCGGAGTTGCTAGTGCGTGTGTTGAACCGACAGTGTGTGGTGATCGTACATCAACGTACGTGCGTCGCGACCGGTAAAATATCAATCAGTCGCGAGATATGGGACACGAGCCTTACCATGGTCGTCGCGACGTCATCGGCGATTGCTTTGATTGAGGATTTATCGAAGGACACGCTAGGAAGGTAACCATCACCTGTGGCGCCGCTGCCTGGCATTCACCTCCTTCTCCTACCAACAATTAACGTCGTTTCATCGAGCCCGATATTCGAGGAGAATGTAGCGGCGTTAAGAATGTCTGGTCATTGAAAGTTGATGAAATCTGCCGGCGAAACGTCACGTCACGTCACGTCACGTCACGCGAATGCGCTCGGGACGCCCGGCGACGTTAGCAAATTTCGAGCCGTTACGCGCTCGCAAGTCCCGCGTCGACCGTACGCAAATTGCTCCGCAAGTGGCTCCGACTCGGCTCCCCGTGTTATCATACCTGTGTGTAATGCGATCTCATTTTCGAGACAATTTCAGATCGACCGTTGTGTTTCTGCCATCTCTTTCTACCATCTCATCTTCCTCCTTCTTTCCTTCTGGCGCGTCGGATGATACGAGTATCGCGGCGGCCGGACGGCTTTTCGGGTCGGTGAGATCCTCCCAGATCGTTTCTCCTCTCGGCGGGAGGCGAACGGTCCCCGCGACGCGTCTCCGGACGCGTCCATGCCGAAACACGCCGCAGAATCGAAGGCACATTTAGTTTCGACCGTGACCACGCGGCCGAGGAGGATCGGCCTCGATTGTTCGATCAATTCTCTCCGCTGTACGACGCGGAGAACGCGCGCGCCGATCGTTCGCGAGGCCGCGGAAGAAATTGATGAAGATAATAGCGCGAGCGTATTCGGGCCGCCACAAGTGCAGCGAGAATGAAGCAATTTCGTTTCAGCCGGTGGTAAATCAACCGTTGGAACTGGTCGTTTCACGCAAACATGTTCACGTGTAGATCAGCGCGGCTGTTTCGCGCGACTTGGTGTCAATTAGTCTGTTCTTTTCAGCTGCACTACTGAACTGGTGCAATAAGTTAAAGTGAGAAAAAATATAGTTGTCTCATTCTAACTTATTGCACTAGTTCCGCAGTGCAGCTGAAAAGAACAGAGCAAATGTTTCGTCGCATTGTATACGCCGTGAAAATCTCGTATTTGTATTTTTCCATGCCCTTCAGGAGAGACACAAGGGTGCATTTTATAACAGAGATTTAGATTGTGTCGAGACGAAATCTCGAATAAGGATAACAACAATTTCCTTTAAATGATTTATAATTTCGTAAATATTTGTACATACAAGTGGTGTAAAAAAGATTAGCAAATTGTTTTCATATATAATGTACGAATAATTTGATAGCTTAGATAGCTTAATATAGCTCGCCTCGCCTCGCTCGACCTCGCGACTTATAAGAAATTCAGACCTGCATGAAGACCTGCGGCGATGAATCACTGATAAACCGGGTCTACTTTGAGAGATTACACGCCCTGGCAATATTTGTACTGATTGCTGTGTCCGGACTCGTGCCGCGTCGTCGTCGTCGTCGTCGTCGGTAAACCGCACATATTACGTACATCGGTATATGAATGTCCAAATCATCTGTAGCGATCTAAAACGAGACAAAAGACGTAATTGATGCACGAGATGCGTGATGAGCTGCTAAGTTTTAAGCCGCTCGCGTGACTTGCTTCGCCGGCTCCGGGCGTGTACCGATTTCTCGATGACCGGCGAGTTACGTGAGCGATAATTTGATTGAAACGAACTGTTCAAGTATCGCGCTCCTCCGAGTACTCCGGAGCTCCGGGCGAATGTCGCGCATCGATTGCTCGTGCTAAATAATACAGCACGCGTCTCATAGATCACCTTGACCATGACGCTTGCTCGTGCAACGCCTTTTCGCGCACCTCGAAATCGCTTTTCCTCGATCCAATTGAATCGCGGATTTAACTGAAGACTTTCGCCCCCGCTTCCGGTTCGGCATTTTGACACTTGACCTTTACATAAAAATATCGAACGTGTCGCTATTAATTTCTCCGAAAGTCTTCAACGCCTGCCCGAGTCGTTTCGCAATCCGACGTTAGAAACGAGAAGGAGCGCACTCCAGTGATTCTCACGACGCGATATCTCCGACATGGCAGCAATATTTTTACTACATCTTACCAGTATCACTTAATCAAGTGTCGGTTTCATTCATGATCAGCGCGGCGCGAGTTATTCATCGATAGGCGTCGCCTATCGTTTTCCCGATTCTCCTCGCGATCTTCGCGGGATAACTGCGGGATAACCACGACAGCTATTACAGGCTCTGAACTTTCCGCGCTTTTGCGGGCTAAAGTAACGACGACGAGAAAGAGAGACCGTAATCGGTTTGTCCGAGCCGCGCGGGGCCACGCACTACTGGATTATGCGGACTTAATCGCATTCACCGCGGTCGCTCTTCCGCCTCGAGACGAGCCCGCACGACTCGTCGTCGGCAACACGCTTTCCCAAAGTGCACGACTCCAATTTATTACGTGCGTATACGCGAATATACCGCCGTCACCGGTTTGATCCCGGCGCGATGAGCAGGGATGCCGAACACAGGAAGAAGATAGGAAAGGAATCGCCGCCGTGTTGCCCTCCTCCCCGGCCCGACGGAGAAAAGGGGGCTTAGTTAGTGCACGCTCAATTAAGGGGAGCACGCAGCCCGGAACGGACATTGCTCCAGAACGCGTCGCGGTGCGCCGGCTTCGTCAAGTGCATTCTTATATCGCGCGCCGCGCCTTAGATGAGATTCATCGAGACGCGCCAGCGAGGCTGCGCTTAAGAATACTTCACCTCCTATCGACAAGCAACCTGCTTTCTATCTTTCGCAGACTACAGTTCACGCGAACGTGCTTTTAATCTGGACTCGGTACTCGATAATGGCGCTTTTCGAGTCGGACCATCCCGGCAAGTTCAGTTCATTTTCAGACGATCGCGTTACGCGGCAAGAAATGTGGCTCGGCTGAAGTTTTCAATCGTCGTTTCATTCGTCGTTCGAAAGGTCCGGGGAGAAATCTCGGGTCCCTTCGTAAATATATCGAGTTGTGTTATACCTTGCACGGACAAATTTTTCCTCGAGTTGCCTGGATAACGGGAGATTCAGTTGCACCGGCAGAATTGTTTTTTCCATTGCATGCAGATACGCGGAGAGAAATCAGTCTCAGTCTGTGCAGCCGAATGGGGACCGAGCGAAAACTCGTTGACTCGGAAATGTCATTTCCGTTATTATGATAGAAAACACTCGTCCGAACACACCCACCCACCCACCCACACACACACACACACACACACACACAGCCGAAAATTAAAATTCGACTGAGGGCAATTGAGCGAGTTAATCCCCGATATTTCTCCCGAGATCCTCGAGTTTCATCGCGAAACGGTATATCCCGCTACAGGAAATTAATCGCGGCACAAATAATCCCCCCCCCCCCCCGCGCATCGCTTTCGTGCGCGGCGTCTTTATGCGCGGCGGCGGACGATGTGTTTAATTAGTTTTACATCGGTTACGCGGGTAGCAATATTAATTTGCTGCTAATTGCAGTCGCACGAGCGGCTCGTGTGTGTGTGTGTGTGTGTGTGTGTGTTCGCCTGGATTTTTCGCGCGCGGTTAACCGACGCGCTCGCCGGATTTCGCCGGGTCCCGCGGAGATATTCGCCGTTATTCGCTCCGTCCACCGTTTCTCGACCGTCGCGATTCCGCAAAAACCGCTTGCGAGTAAATACCGGCCCTCGACGATGAGCTATCCGCGAGCGCCGCTCGACGCGCGGCGATAAGTTCTCTCACGCGGAAGTCGACCTGACCACATGTGTATCCCCGAGAGGTTGGCCGCGTAGGTGAAGGTCACGGAGAGGTCAGGTTACGTGGGACTGGTCCCTCTTCGTGATCGGCCACGCATTCGTCGAACCCGTTTGTGAAATTCCTCGCGAACGTTTCACGGGCGTTTCTCGCGCAACCGCATAACGCCCGGTATTCCGTGAACTTTTAGCCGTGACCTGCTCGTCGTCCCACGGATACAATCATACTTAATTAGACGTCCGACTAAAATTGTCGCAATAGAACGCGGAATGCGAAGAGAACGTGTCGTTTTCTTCGCTGTAATTTAACTTGCAAAGCAGATCCCGCACAATCGAAATGCTGTAAGAATTTTCGTAACAGCACTCTCTGCTAAATTATGTATACACAGAGAGGATTTTTATTGAAAAATGTATTACTGACTGCTATCCGGGATATTTATACAAAAGCCGACATTTATATGTGATATTTATATGCTGCTGCTACGATTAACTGGAATAATTTACGAATAACAGAGAAAAAGAGAGAGGAGAGAGAGAGAGAGAGAGAGAGAGGGAGAGGGAGAGGGAGAGAGAGAGAGAGAGAGAGAGAGAGAGAGAATAGTTTACTCTCACACATCTCTCCTACCTAACGGTATTGCATAAAATTTATCACATATGTAAGGATGGCTTACTGTCTTTCAAATACTGTCAATGATGTGATTGTAATCTGGATAAGCTGATCTTTTTTTCTACAATTTACGAATGCCATAAATCTATCTTCCAGACTCTAAAACAGCATGTCCGAATTTCAGATATTAAGCGGCAAATCCCGTTTGATAGCGACGTGGTTAGAACAACGGCGTTAGCAAACCTATCTGACAACATTTTACGAGCAATTCCCGTTCGCCACAACAGGATTTCCTTCATTCATAAATGGAAATGATATTCCACTGATTATCTTCTTGTTCTCGATACCATCCCGAGTCTGCACACCGGATAGCGTCCTCCGGGGACTCGCCTCTCGAGACGCACCCACCGACTACCGGCGTTCGCCAATGACGTCATCGTCGCCCCCTTCGTAACCATATGAGGTTACTCACCCGAGACTCCCTCGAGAGATCGATTTTCCAGCGCGATGCCTCTCGCACGTGCGAGAGCATGTATGTATGTACGACGCAATCGCCGCCGCCGCCGCCGCCGCCGCCGCCGCCGCCGGTCGCCGCGGTGGACCGCGATCGCGAGGGTGCAGGTAGGCACCTCGCAGCGCCGTCGCAGCGGCGCGTCGTGACGCCCGGCGTCGCGCGAGTCAGTGCGTCGCGCGGTGTCAGCCGTACGGCCCTCGGCCACGTGCTCC